CCCCCCTTTTTTTTTTTTTTTTTGAATTTGGCGCATATCAAGCAAAAAAAGTCCAGCAGTAAAGTCCGGAGAATGATCATTAAGGTATAGGCAATGGCCGTTGCATGCTGAAATTTACAAAGTTTCCAAAAATCGGCACTACCTACCCTCCGGCAGTCTCAAATAATAGTTTTATGGCAAATTAAATTTTCTCAAAATGTTTGACGATTTTAGAAAAATAAAAAATCATTTATTTTCTTCTCAATCTGCTCTTACTATTTCAACAAGTGGAGCTTTAATTCTGTGAGATATTTAAGGGAGAGATAAATGTCATTTACCCAATTTTTCTAAAAATTAATTAAGCCTATATATTACTCCCCTCCGTTTACTTTTAGTTGTCAAGTATTCTAAAAATAAATTTTTATTTTTATTTGTCACTTTTCGCATATCAAGAGAAAAATAATTTATTTTTTCTGTTTTGCCCTTAGCATTAATTACTATTCCAAATTATTTTTCCAATCCATTAATACTATACACCAATTAATATGGATATCATTATAAATTATGTGCTTTATTTATTATTTTTTAAGAGGTTTGCAAAGTCCAAAGTTAACAAGTAAAAGTGAACGGAGGGAGTAAATCATTAGATTGTTACCTGTTTCCAAGAAGGGCATGAAGCTGCAAGATGGTTCGCTCTTCCTCCGAACTGAACTTTCCTCTCTTGATGTTTGGCCTTAGATAATTGATCCATCTTAATCTACAGCTCCTTCCACATCTCTGAAGCCCTATAATAGTACAAATTTGTGGGAAAAAAATGTTCTGAATTATGCAAAGAAGTACTACTAATCATTATCTTGGTGACTAACGTTTCAAACAAAAGAAAGGAGTAAACCAAAATCAATTAAGTTAATATAATTAATTACCAGCTTTAGGAGGCAAATCACTCCAGCTACCACAGCCATGTTCCTCAATGTAAGCCAAGAGCTTTTGGTCTTCCTCAGGTGTCCATGGCCCTTTCTTGAACCCTTTTTTATCAATACATGGTAATCTTCCCATTTTAACCTAGTTCAGTAGCTCCTAATGTTTTAATAATAGAAGAAAAGCAAGAAAGTTAAAGAACAACTCTTTAAATTTAACAAAAATGTGGAGACTCTGCTCTTCCTCTAGATATTCTTTCTTTTGGTGGGATGGCTGATACAATGTGAAAAGGTTAGTGAGAGTATATATATGAGAACGAAGCATTAAATGGTACAACCAGAGTTGTACGACAAGGATTAAATAGTAGTACTCCTATAGTTAGTCATAGTAATTTAAAAGGCGCAGGCGTAAGGCGACGCGAGGCGTTTACATACATATGTCTTAGCGAGACGAAAGTCCCGAGGCACGGGGCGAAAGTCCCATGAGTATTTATGTCACGACTCAAAATCCCGCCTTAAGCGTCATGATGGCACCTAGTCTCTAAGACTAGGTAAGCCGATTACTTACAACAATTAAGCCAGTTTAAATAATAGATGTCAAGTTTCATACTCCTGAACCGGTGTAAACGGCATGCCACGATGTATGCTTATGCGAGTATGCTAATACAATCTAAGTCAACAAGTAATATCAAAGACATCGAGTAGCCAACCGAAAGCAACACAACAAGTCAAGTAAGGTGCATGGCATACACAAAGAAAATCACACCACACGAATATCATCAACATAATGCCCCCATGCTATCACATATCATCCCTGACATTGCCACCCTTATCTCTCCGTTTTGATAATATTATAATAGCCACCTTTATCGCTTCGCCCAGATATTTACACAATAGCCACCCTTATCACTCTGATAGCCACCCGTATCACTCTACCCCGACAATATCATTAGCCATCCATATCATACCGACAACCTCCCCTATCACTCCACATAATAGATACCATTATCGCTCCGCACGGACAATAACAGAATAACCATCCGTATCACTCCGCACAATCATCAACAATGCGATGTCACCCTTATGCTCTGCATAACAACAATCAATCCACACCGAAAATTCACAATAACACGATATATCAACTCGTACCACAAGTGCCCATAGGCCACAACATTTTCAAAACAACAATACAAATATTACAACATCATATAGCCCATGGCTCAAACACGATGTGTACATAATCTCAATAACAACAAAATAAACGAGAAAGTTACTCAACAATGAACAACACCCTATTAAACACAATATCAACTAAAATAGATTAATGACTTTCAATAACTTCAACTTCAATTAATTGCTTAAGAATAAACTCAATAATGAAGGTATTTCAAAGAAATGGAAACTTCGAATTCTAGTGTATGACATAAGCTAATAATGAAAGAGATGGCCTAAACTAGCAACTACGTCTAAATACATGAGAATAACTCGGCAATGAAAGGACATCATGTAACAATAATTTTAATTAAGAAGAACTCAACAATAAAGGAAGTCACATAATAATAAGAGGAGTAACAACTTTAAATAAAGCATATAAGAGTGAACTTGACAAATAAAAGATATAACATGTGCTAACAGCTCCAAATAAAGCATGTGATAGCAAACTTGAAAAATAAAAAATATATCATATGCCAACAACTTCAAATAAATACATGAAAGAACAAACTTGACAAATAAAGATATAACATGTAACAACTTCAAATAAATACATGAAAGAAGCCTAAGAGTCTAAACCGGTCAATTTTCATATATAAGTGCGAGTACGCACTCGTCAACTCACGTACTCATCTTTCACATAATTCAAATAATACAATAAATCCCAAATCCTATGGGGTAGTGATGTTTGGCCAAATTGATGTGAAGATAAAAAGATTTGGAGCAAAATTAAATAAAATACGAAAGAAAAAGAAATAAAATTAAAAGAATAAAAAAAGGACACCCTTTGAATTTTGTCCCCCCAAATGGAAGACAAAAGATTAAGCTATGGAATGCAAAGCAAAACGCAGCAAAGAAGGATTGCAAAACATTACAGGTTTCTGCGCCAGGGCCAGCGCGACGCGTTGCCCTGGACGCTGGAGGCGGAATTTTTCCTAGTTCGCTCGGGACAAGGTTATTTCGATCCTACACGACACCAACTCATATAAAAGGAGTTCTAAACCTATTTTAGAGGGGAGGAGCGGGGCGTTTTTGAGAAGAAACCACAAGCGCAGAGCCGCCGTGGAGGCCGAAATTCATCAAATTTCATCTTTTCTTCCACCAAACTTAGTAATTTTTATGTTTCTTTGTATGATTTGTTGTTTGTCTACCATGTCTATGTGGAGCTAAACTTCACGCTCTAGGGTTGTGGTTCTTTCATGACTATTGTTATTCGGATATTAATTTTGCTTTCTTGATTTATCATATTGATTTATTTATTCAATCTTGCACTTAATTATTTAATTTCTTGATCACCAATTGAATACTATCTACGAATCTAGAGTTGAACTCGAAAGTAGGAATTCTAGATTGCACACAGGATTGAGTAGAGCAGGTTCTTGAACCTGGACATCGGGGAACAGATTCGCAGTTAGGATAGACATATACCTAATTACCTTGCTTGTTTGATGTATAGGAATTATAAATGCGTTCTCGTTAGTCTAATTCCATAGACATATAGGCGTTAGGTTAGCTTGAATAGGCGAGTAAGAACTCAACAGATTCTTATAAGCAATATTAACCCTATCAACCAATGAGCTAGATGAATTAGTTAGTTAATTCAATTAAAGAATACAATAGGAATGTTAGATAGCCCATAATCCTAGATCATTTTCAGTACATTGATAACATAAAAATCTGCACTTCCTTTGTTCAGAGTTTCGTATTTGTTTTATTTTTAGTTTAATAACTTTAGCATCACTACTTTGGGTTAATCCTTATTTAGATAATTAGGGCAGTCTAATCTAGTTAATAGTTGATAAAAAGTCTTCGTGGGAATGATACTCTACTCACTACTCTATTACTTGATGATCGCGTATATTTGTATGTGCGTTTGGCCGTAACAAGTTTTTGACGCCGTTGCCGGGGACTTAGAATTAGCTATTTTTCTAGATTAGACATTTATTTTTTATTTTTTCAAGTTTTTTGTTTTAGTTTAGTTAGTATTTTTTATTTATTTTACCATGGCATCTTGGAATGAAAATTATTCGAATGATGGTTATTCTTATTTTGATGATCCTAGTCCATATTGTGGAGGACCTCACTAGTGAAAAAATTGTCAGAATGTTTCCGAGAGCGAGTTGTGCGTACAATATCAATCCTTTGAGTGGAATATTTATAATATGTGCGGTGGTCACGATGGCCATTGGGATGGTTGTCCTAATTCTTTTCATCCTTCTCTTAGCCCTTATTATGATCTTTCTAACAGTGTTTGTGAGTTTGTAGGGGCAATGAAGTGTAGGATATGGAACGTGATGCATATATTAGGGATATTTTGAGGCAAGTATTAGAGCAACAGGATGAACTCAAAAAAGATATAAAAAGAATGAGGGCAGCAATCACAAGAATGAAGGCCAGTCTGGAAGAATTAAATGAAGAGAGCGAGTACCAGCAAGAGGAAAATTTTGCAAAAGAGGAGATTTTGAGCCAAACTTGGCTGGTGGAACAAGATAAAAGATTAGAAATATATGAGGCTCAACGTGAGGAAATTACAAATGAGATGAGATACACTATAGAAGGAAGATCTGAACTGGGACAAGAGATCGATAAATTTGGCACTACTATTCATGACTTAGAGGCTCAATTGAATGCAAAGGTTGATGCATCTAACGCCCAACAAAATAGTAATGCATTGTGTGAAGATGAAAAATCGCCAAATTGAGGAGCTAAAAGTAGAGAGCCAATCATTCAAACATATTTTTGTTGATGATGCCCATGTTGAGAAAAGTACACTAGAGCCATGTTAGGAAACATATAATGTTATATTTGAAGACTCTTATGAATGTAAATTTGAGGATGTAAAGAGTAATACAATTCTAGAGTTAGGGTGTATTGGTCCTTATTCCATTCAATTTTTAATATTATGTTTGGATGATGACATGGAAATAGAGTTATCTGAGCCTTTGGAGGAGCCAATGGACGAGAAACGGGGTGCTTACATTCTTGAATTTGTCGTGCCAGAGAGACAGAATTGCATACCTCATCCTAAGGCCAAGAAGTGTAGAATGCGATATTAGTTTCTTGGCCCAATTAAATTTGTCTCACCGCCCCGGGAGCATAACAAAAAGCTTGAAGCCAAATTAGGGGCTCAATTCATAAAATCGAGTTAGAGGCAAAAAGTGATTCATGTCGTACCGCGACGTTAAATTAGCCGCTTGTTGGGAGGCAACCCGCTTTACTGCTTTCTTTTAGTTTTGATTTTTTTTCTTATTGTATTATTTGTGTAGTGTTATTTTATTTTGTAGGATTTTGAGCATAGGGAGCAAAGCCATAGAAAGTGTGCAAAAGTGATTCATGTGGTTGGAACTAAGTGTGAGATGCCCGCACAAAGGATCATACCTGGGAGAAGTCTGAATATCCTGTGAGCTGCTAATGCTTCGGCCTTTGGCCTACCAGGGAGTTTCTTTTACCCTCTTGTTGTTTACAATGTGCATTGAGGACATTGTACAATTTTAAGTGTGGGGTGAAGAGATTGTTTGGATGCTTTTCCGTGCTATCATAGGTTAGTTGTAGTATTCTTTCTTAGTGTAGTAGTTTTTGTGTAAATAAAAACAAATTGAAAAAAAAAAGAAAAATTGAAAAATAAAGCAAAAAATTTGGACTTTTCCCAACGATGGATTTTGTAGACAGCTTTCTTGAAGGATTAAGGTCCAATGAAGAAAAAATCTAAAAATATTTTCTTTTGTGTTCTAGTTAGTCTTAGTTAGATAATAATCCCCCTTGGTTTTTCTTTTTGCATCAGTTCTTTTCCAGGGGATGTAACTTGAATCGGGTAATTTTTTTTATTTTAAGGATTAGATTTTTTTAGGAGTAGTAAAAGAGGGAGAAGAAAAACCTTTGTGACTTGTTTGATACTAGCATATCTAGGCCTAAGCTTGAGTAGTACTTTCCTCTAAGTGCTTGAGTAATGAATAAAATAGCAGACTTTCTGACACCTAAGCTCATGGTTGTGACTCTATATATAGCTTATTCCTATTTTGTTGTTCGCTATGATCATGTCTGTCTT